AGATAAATATTGTGAAGCTAGTCCAACCTAACCGTACTCAAATATCAATCTTGAGTTCTAATTCACTTTTCCTCCCTATAGCATTTTCTAACCCAACCCTAAAGCAACAGAGCAGAATCCACCAAAAGCAACCTACTTCCTACTGATAGACTACAACCTTTTCTTAGTTTACCCAACAAATCTGGTCTCCACTTGAGAATTAAATTTATTTGGCTTAGTACTCTTCATATACTTAACTATTGTAATGACATGGTATAATCTTGCTAGAAAAAGGTGCAAGACTTTGAGCTTGATTATCTCCAATAACTTCTAAATTCCTAACCCATATCACAGTACACAGTTAGATTAAAACTTATAAAAATTGGTAGAAAGAAAGAGATAACTCTCATTTTGTGCCGTATATTTAACTTACAAGTACCTTCAACACGATTATTGCTCATAATGTTGATGCTTCTCTCAAAAGACAGCATCAAACAAATAGAAAAGTGATATATTTCTCTCAGGTATAAACTGGGATAAATCCCCTTGATTATCTCCAATAACTTCTAAATTCCTAACCCATATCACAGTACACAGTTAGATTAAAACTTATAGCTTGATTATCTCCAATAACTTCTAAATTCCTAACCCATATCACAGTACACAGTTAGATTAAAACTTATAAAAATTGGTAGAAAGAAAGAGAGAACTCTCATTTTGTGCCGTATATTTAACTTACAAGTACCTTCAACACCATTATTGCTCATAATGTTGATGCTTCTCTCAAAAGACAGCGTCAAACAAATAGAAAAGTGATATATTTCTCTCAGGTATAAACTGGGATAAATCCCCTTGATTATCTCCAATAACTTCTAAATTCCTAACCCATATCACAGTACACAGTTAGATTAAAACTTATAAAAATTGGTAGAAAGAAAGAGAGAACTCTCATTTTGTGCCGTATATTTAACTTACAAGTACCTTCAACACCATTATTGCTCATAATGTTGATGCTTCTCTCAAAAGACAGCGTCAAACAAATAGAAAAGTGATATATTTCTCTCAGGTATAAACTGGGATAAATCCCTGTTTCTTTAACATATGCCCTTCCTTGTATTGGCTATGCAACATAAGCAATTGTATCAATGAACCATGTTCAGTCGAATGCGTATCAGACATGATATTTTCGGACTGCATGTCATGATTCCTTAATAAACTTAATGAAGGTATAATTTATTTTTCAGAGAACACCCTCTCACTTGGAACATAGGGATCTTAATACTCCTGTCACATATTTAAAGAAGTTACCCCTAAGAAATCCTATTGATGTTTGTCCTCCAAAGACCCAATCATATGATGGTGTACGTGCCAAAACCTTCACAATATTTTAAGTGGACAGCTAATGTTAAGAGTAAGTCAAACCAAATGTCCGTTTGCTGTAATTTCGGTTTAACTTTTAATTATACAATTGGATCAATTTGCAGAATGTTGGACCGTTGCCAGGGTATCTAGAAGATGCCATGAAAGCTGCATATAACCGCTATGTGAAGTATCTTGATTCTTTTGGTCCTGATGAGGCCTATCTGCGCAAAAAGGTTGAAAGCGAGTTGGGAACTAAAATGATTCACTTGAAGATGAGATGTAGCGGTATTGGTTCTGAGTGGGGAAAGGTAAGAAATTTTTTCAATAATAGTCATTTGTATACTGCTGGAAAAAGGCATTTCTTTCTTGAAGTTTGATATATTGGTTTGCTCCCGGAAAAGTGTAAGCATGTTATTCATGGTGAAGTGTTTATTTCTACGAGTCAACTCCATTTGGAGAGGAAAGACTTGGTATTGCTTATATGTGGTATTTTGATGTCTATGTCCTCTTTTTATGCTTGCTCTCAGCCTTACATTGCCACGCTGTGGTAACTTATGGATCCTGAATAAACACTCGTGTGCATTCTTTTAATCAGTCTCATTCGTTTCTGAAATCTAGCTTTTTGTTGAGACTCATAACTATCTGGGTTATGGAAATTTGATGGGAGCAATATATAGCTTGGTTCCTGTCTTTGCACAAGATGTTTTGATGACATTTTTTGCACTTATTTCCTTAATACATCATTGCTAACCTCTTATGTCCACTATAAATATATGTGAGTGTTTAGGTTAAAGCGTGAAATGTGATGCATACCTGAAGAATTTGAATTAGCTTACTAACGTTCACCACCTTAATTCGCAGGTTACCCTCCTTGGAACCTCTGGCATTTCCGGGTCCTATGTCGAGCAGAGAGCATAATGCGAACAGCTATTTGTATCTGAAGCATCTTTTTTGTTGGTTAATAATTCAGTTTTATTTGCTTCCTGCAAATTTTCAAGTAACATTTGGTGCTCAGGCACATTTTCTTAAATGAATAATAATACGGTTGTGCTGTTCAGAGTTTCAAAAGCGCTGTCTGTGTGGGCTTTTATGGATTCTAATGATGTTGAGCAGCTGCTTTTTGAAACGAAAACTGCAGTGTTGCCATGTTTTGGTTTCTGCAGACTGCTGTACTATGTATTTTATGTGCAAAAGTTGAAGTAGCGTATTTGGGTCTTTTCTATTGGCACTTGTGTTTAGGTTGACGTAATGTTTTAGGGAATTAGAACTCTTTCTTCTTTACATGCCATTGCCCCTTCTTGTGTTTTATGTGCAAATGTTTTTGGCATTGATGTCCTGTTAAAGAAGAATTCGCGAACCATGCATAGGAAATTCCTTTGAAAACCTGGAAGTGTTGGTTATATTATGTCGTTCGTAGATGTGGGATTGCGGTTAACATGCATCAAGATATTCATGCATCGAGAAATGAAAATTCAGCTTTGGTACACTGTAGATAACATTTAGTGTCAGATTTCTCACTGTGATGGGCCTGATGGCGCTGTCCCAAGTTCACATATTTGCGGACAATTTATTTTATTTATTTATTTGAATATTCTGTGATTATTTGAATTGAGTGGTGACATGAGTTAATGAGAACTTATTCGGTGGAAATTAATAATATATTCAATTCAAATTTACCAACTATATTTATAATTGACGGTTAAAAAGAGAGAGATTTGTAGATTGATTGTAGTTAGAAAGACTGATGGCGTCTCACGCTTCTGAGAAGAGTCTGAGAAAGCCTGCTGTAACTAAGAAAGAAATAATGAAACAATTGGAATGAACAAAGTTATAAGCTAATATAGGGTTTTTCTCTCCGGAAATCATCTTTAAAATATAAACTCCTTTCATATTCAATTCATATGTAAAGTATCTTTAAAGTGAGTTTTTGTTCCAATCAACCATCTCCTACCCAAACATTCACTAAAATATCAAAAATAATCTTTAACAAAATGGATGTTTAACGTATGTGATATCCTAGCAAGACCTAAACATTAATGTATCGTTTGAATACCAATGCGGTTTTATTATTTCCATGGTGTTTTTGTCAAAAACAAAACACCATGCGTTTAGAAACCAGTGTTTTTTGAGCTAAAAACTCCCCAAACCAAAAACAAAACACTTATTTTGAAATAGTTTAGATGTTTTGAGTTTGATGTTTTGGCTTTGAGTTTAAGGTGATGTTAACAAAATATCTAACATAATATATCATATATAACTAATTTAATTTATTATCAACATGCTTATAATGTAATATAATCTAATATTATAATATAGTTAATCTTTTATATTGATAATATTTAGTAAATAACCTAAAATGTATTAATAATTACAATATATTTTATAATAATACAATAACATATTAAGTACTAACATTTAATAAGTTGAATGTATTATACTATAATATAATTAAAATGTTATAATAATAAATAACGAAAAATAAATATATTAATACAAAATATTATGCAATAAATTATTAATAATTAATAATAATATAATAATATACTATATAATAAAAAATGCTATATTATAAAGTTATTATTATTATTATTTACATAAATATATATAATATATTAATAATTATAAAATGGTATATAAGAGAAATATATCTAAAATAAAATAATACTATAGTTAGTATATGTTATATAGGTTATATTGTATAATAAATGTAATATAGTATATAGAATATTAATATATTATATAATAAATAATATAATATGTTATACAGTAAAGTAATTTATCTTAAATTATTATTATATCATTAAATTATTATTAATAAGTTGTAATATATTAAAATCTATAATACATTTTACAATGTTAAAGCGTAAATAATATCTTAATTTATTAATAATACACAAATAAAAAATAAATTGCTATTATAATGTGTTATAATATAATATATTGAATTATATTTAGAACTACTAATAATATAATGAATTTTTTTTTGAAAACCAACCTATTTAGAAACTTAATTACAAAAAAGACCTATTTGCAACTTAATTATCAAAATCGACCCAGTTTTAGCTAGTTGGCTGAAACTGAATCGATTTTGATAAAAAAAAGTTACGAAACTTCACGGGACTTGAAGTCCAGTGAAATTTAAGCCCTTGTTAAGCAATGTAACCCAAGCTTCACGGGACTTGAAGTTCCGTGAAGCTTGAACTTCATGGGACTTCAAGTCCAATGAAGTCTCAGGCTAATTTTGCCTGCAACTCCACGGGACTTGAAGTCCCGTGGAGTTTGGCAGCGCCTATAAAAGGCCCACTCACGCATAGAACCCCACTCACGCGCAACCTGTTCCCACCCACGCGACCAACCCAACCCTCTTCTCCCTCGTTCCCAAAAGGTTCCTAGCCCCTTTCTCTGCCGCCCACAACCCACCATCGCAGCCACCGCCGCCGTCGACCCTACCTGTCGGCGTGCTGTGATCATGGTTTTAGCCCGTAAAAGCTCCCCCTCCGACCATCGGACCTACAACAGTTCCAGTTCAGCCCCGTCCCCCGACTCGCACTGACTGCCTGATATTACCGCTTGTGATATGCGCTGATGTTCTCATCGCTCTGTTTCACGTCCATTTCCAGAAGATGTTCAGTCCCCATTGCGGGCGGGCTATCTGAGTGGAAATGTTAGGTAGAATATTACAAGAAAAAGATATTCCGATGTCGTACTAGTGATTCCGTCGTTTATTCATGTGCCCGATGTAAACCCTGATTTTACTTCTGTTATTAAGTATATTTGATTTTGAAATAAATTTTGAATTATTTATGAATTTTGTGAAGAAAAATTAAATAATTTTATGTATGAAGTTAGAGAGGAAATTATAGAAAATTGTAAAAGTTAGTGTTATTATAAATGTTTGACATTTGGTTAAAATTTTTATCAATAAATATTATCATTTTTGAATAATTTGCAGCCCATACCAGAGATCACCATAGTGGACTGTTCCTAGAGTCACTCGAACTGGGAGATGGAGGATGAGCGAGTAATACAGTTGGTAACTCAAGCCGGGTTTTGAAAGTGTTCCTCGGTGAGGTATATTAGGCTTGACTGGGCCCTTATCAGTGCACTTATTGAGAAGTGGAGACCGGAGACCAACATATTTCATATGCATATAGGGAGTGTACGATTACACTTCAGGATGTGGCCATCATACTTGGGCTCTGCATTGATGGCACGGTTGTTACAGGCACCGATGATCACAATTGGCCCGAAGTATGTGAGAGGCTTCTTGGGCAGGTTCCTGATTTGAGGAGTGATGTGATGAAGCTATCGTGGCTTCGATCGACATTTATGGGCGATGTACCAGTCGATGCCACGCATGAGATGATTCAGTATCACGCCCGTGCTTACATATTACACATGATAGGGTGCACGTTATTTCTTGACGTGAGCAAGAGTCTTGTACATGCACGATGGATGCCACTGCTAGAGGATTTTGATGTATGCGACACTCTATCATGGGGTAGTGCTGTCTTGACATAGCTTTATAGAGAACTAGGCAGGATGTCCTTGATGCAGAATAAAGAATTCAAGGGATGCATGACATTGATACAAGTATAATTATGAATAAATTATTGACAAGCGTTTTCATATATTCTTTATGCGTAAATTAATGCTGGTTTGGTCATGGGAGCACATTCATATTAGACGACCTACTTTGCATGTGCACCGCGATCTACAAGGCCAGTTTCCTTTGGGATGAAGGTATAATTTTGCATAAATTACGAATTTGTTCTCATATATTTTTTATGCCAAATAGGTATAACGTGAGGTGCTATTAATACAAAACAACGACTAGACATATAGAGTTTTACCGAAATGAGCTTGATGGTCTCCACCACCAAGAGGTAAATATAAAACTCAATTCATTATGAATATTTTAATTTTGTTGTAGATACTGATAAAAGTTTTTTTTAATTTCAGTTCAAGTGGACGCCCTATCATCCGCCTGATCTCGATATGCATACTCTTGCACCTATCTGTCGAGATAGCGCTGCTTTGTGGAGAGCCAGAGTCCCGTTGATATATTGGGAGATTGTCGAGATGCATGTCCCAGATCGTGTGTTGTGGAAATTTCTTCTCTCTCAGCATGTGTCAGATCCTGTTGAGCAACTTGATCGTAGGCGATGGATGACATCGCATTGTATGGACTGAGCCGTATTCCGTGCGGCATACATAGACATGTGGAATTTCATACAGGATGAGAAAATTCTAGCTGTGGGTTATACCGAATATATGCGTTGGTATTGGAATATCACATGCAGATGGATAGGATGCGACCCATAGACAATAGCTGAATACGTACCACGCCCACCGACAAATAGTTACATAGCTAGTGCCATGATCGAGAGAGATTATGTAAGTTTTTAAACTAAATTAAAACGATAATTTTTTTATTAAGATATTATTTGCTAAGTTGTGTATATATTGATTAACTCGCAGATCAATGATTTTGATGAGATTGAGGCCGATATAAATGAGCATATTACTGAGATTCAGGATCTAACGGTCTTAGGTAGGGATCTTCAAAAGGATTAAACAGAGAATAGCGAGCGTGTTCCACAAAAATCATGTCGACGAGTTTGAAGGCCGTCGGGACAGGTCACGCCAATTTGGTGAAGTGTACACGCGACGACGTAGGACAAGTCAAACGAGGGCGCGTGATGATGGAGTCGGCACTTCTCATAGCACGACGCATGCTGATGGAGTCGGCACTTCTCATAGCACGACGCATGCTGATGGAGTCGGCACTTCTTAGCCTCATACACAACCAGATACTCAGATCATCGAGGCTCAGCAGCATGGACAGAGGGGGCGGGGACGAGAGGGGGGGGGGAGGAGGGGTGGGGGGAGTGAGGGGAAGGGGTAAGAGAGGGAGATGACTTTTGGGATGTATGTGAATTTCTTTTGTTCAATTTTATTACTTTTGTGAATTTCAATAACGATATGGTTAGATTGTTCAAATTTGTTACTTTTGTGGATCAATTATTGTTTATATATGTGATTTTCATGAGTATTGTTTGATTCATGGCTGGATTTTATGAATAATATTGTAATTCAGTATATATGTGATTTTCGTGTGTCTTGTTTGATTCATGTATATTGTTGTGAATGAGGCGGAAATTTCATGTATATTGTTGTGAAATTATTTTTATGTATATTGTTGAGAAATTGTTGGGAAATTGTGTGTATATTTATTGGAAAAATTGTTTTCATGTATATTGTATATAAAAAAACATGCACAAAACATATGCATGTTTATTAAAGCTACAACTCCACAGGACTTCACGTGATGTTTTCATCCTCTTAAATCACATTACTTTCATAAATAACAACGTACTTAAACTTCACGGGACTTAAAATCCCATGAAGTTTTATAAATTATTTCGATAAAATCGACCCAGTTTCAACCAACTGGCTGAAACTGGATCAATTTGGGCAATTAAATTCAAAATGGGTTAATTTTTACAATTAAGTTTCTAAATGGGTTGGTTTTAAAAATTTATCCTAATATAGTAATATAAAATAAATATTATAATATTTTAATTTTAACGCATTCTATTATAATTAAACTTTAATTGTATATTTAATACTAATTCAATATTATATTTAATACTAATTGTATAGGTCAAACTAGTGTTGACAAAAAAGACTCACCATAATATTTTGCAAACCCTCTGGAGGTAGAAACACAAAACCATGGTGTTTTTTAGAAAAACATAAGAAAATCACCATGGTAGCAAAACAAAGCCTAAGAAATTAAATCATGCGTCTTGAATATAAGTTTTTAAGAGTATTTTTTGAGTTTTCGATGAAAATTTTAACTAGGAGACGATCGTTTGTAACGTCTACATATAAATTGAAAATAAAAGATATTATTTGTAAAACGACCCTATTTTTAACATGGTTTCTCAGTGGAAAAAAAAAACCGCTAATATATCTAAAAAGCAGGAAGAAGTAGAACCACCGAACCTTGTATGGCAGATGTAACAAATGATTAGAAACCTTCACAACAAACCGGTCAAATATAGGAAAATTTTGTCTCTTAATAGATTACAATTGTCAGTCAGCAAATGAGACCGATGAACACACACTGAGCACAACATTGGATAGGCCCAAACCCATGCAGTCTTAATTTCTCGAGACCTTCACAGGGAGCGATCTCAACTGAAATTACGAACTACTCTAACCTATTGCTGGTTTCTGCAGGTTAGCACAACAAGTGTAGGAACGGATGCTCGCGTCACACTAATATCTATCGGAGCAGATTCTTCTCAACTAGCGGAGCCCGTCAAGCTGAGCGCCCACAAATATTGCTGGGCTTGCTTCTGTTGGCATTCTCACACTCTCGTGCTCTTTCGCTTTGAACATGAGGGTTGACCATTATTTCTTTGCTTTGCGTGCAAGATAGCGTTCACGGGCTGCCTGAATTTTGCTGTCCACATTATCAGAAGGCGCTGTGCTACCACTAGCCTCTTTCTCAGGCAATTGCTCTTGTTTATCCTCTGGTGTTTCTTTCTCATTTAAAGCACCAAAACCACCACTGCAACAAAATACAAATGTATAAGTAACTCGGCCACGATATAGGATTGCATCTGCTCTATAATTTATTTACCTGAGCTTGTTGACGTCCATTTTCTCTATTTTCCTTAGAATGGGCATCACCCATGACATCTCAACTGCACAAACATTTCTCATGAATGGACGAGAGGAATTTATGAGTTCGTGGTAGACGACATAATCAGGTAGTTGCCCGTCTTCGTCAGTTTCTAGAACTGAAGATGGGTGTACCTGCAATAATGTGTGAAAGGCATTAACAAGTACGTCTCAATACTCCTAGTGGACGTTGAGAAGACATTTCCTTCCTAGAATAAGTTCCAGTTTATATGATGCAAAGAACTCTCCGGTGCGAGTAAAAGGTTTAAGTGATGTCTTATTCAAGAAAGCAAACCTTAAATTCAGGCTATAGAAGAAACAGAATGATAGTATTAACAGAAATCTAACAAAGCATGAATAGCTTATCACATAAAAACTCTCAGTACATTGGGCTAACCTTTTTTACTAGCATCAGTAGCAAGAAAACAGTAACATAACCAGTGACAATAATGCCACGGCTCGAAACAAAAAGTTCACTTATAAATTTATAACAAACATCTGATTAATTACTTGTTTCTGATAAAACCAATGTCAGAGAGCTAGACCACGACCTGTCCGTGACAACATGCATTTGATATTAAATCTCTCACTTTAGTTATAATCCAAGAGGATAAGGAAAACACATATATCTAGGCTTAGAGCCTCTCATATTGCAAGTAGAACCAGAAGAATAGAGACTGCTGAAGTCAACCAATGTGGAATATAGGTGTCCATGATATCTGCCAGCAAAATTATTTTGTAAATCACAGAACACCTGCTGTCGTTTTGAATAGAGATTTTATGGCATCAGTAGTTTGATCATAAGATTTTCTGAATCATTCCTAGAGTTTATTATCCATCAGTAAAAAATTTTAACTAGGTAAGTTAAGGGCCCTAAACACTTAAATAAGCATATCAAATGGTGCATGAGCAAGCCAATTACTTCTTCTATTCTATACAAATGAATATCAGCAGGTTGGACTCCATTATCCTTTATTGCACTATCACCTTAAATCTGAAACAGCGTCCTGCTGTCATTTCATCGATCAATATGACAGCATGCAATAGCCGTAAAAGTCTAAGAGGAACATTCTGAGACACTATTGATGAACTAGTCTTACAGTAACTTTCAGGATTAGACTAGTTGGGAGTCAAAGCTAGGATATATGGTCTTCAAATTAAGTTTTGAACCAATTTAGACCAATGTTGGAGTCAAATATTTCTAGCTTTATGTCGAAACATGAGTTAAACAGGCACTGTTTGCTAACACAGAAACTTCATAGGATAGGCATACAGGAGAAAAAAATAGTAGTATACTAGAGGTCCAAGAGGTCAGCGAGATTACTAGAAGAGGGAGAGGTAAGAAACAAATGAAGCAGGTATACAATGGAAAATAGTTGATTCTTCAAAAATTAACCTAAAAGGAAACTATATGATATTATACAGTAACAGTAGAATATATCAAACTAAAAGTCCTTCCAGTCATCGATAATTAGTATTTGGGTTCCTAATTGATCAATTAAGTATTACCTTTATTGTAGCAACCCCATTATAAAACACCACAGCCATACTACACAGTAGCCAAAAAAAACTTTACAAAAATATTATCTGTATTCAGAGGCTCAGCATTCCGCATCAGTTGTTAATGAATTTACTTAAAATGTTTGAATCCTAAGCTTATGTACGTACGTACATGCATGCACGCAGATATGCGCGCACACGCACGGGCACACACATACATACACATACATACATAAATATATACATATGTATATACATAACATGCATGCCCTCGCGCGCGCACACATATTTATAGGGATATTAATCTATACAGTTACTCGTGTATTGAGAAATAAATAAGAAATACCTGGATAAGTTGCGACCGATAACCAAGCGTCCGATAGCCATTATGATGCAGCATTCGCTCGGCTAGCTGATTCCCATAACCCTTGCATAAGGCTCTCCTCAACTTCTGGTAATCATGATCGCTTTTCTTATGTCTCAAACCTGATTTTACATCCACTGGTCCTGGCTTGAAGAAAACAAGATAATACCATTAAAAAAAGTTAGATAGGCTAAAACAATTAAAAACACTGTCACAAAGCTTGACTTTTCAACTTCACATCCACTCATTAAACAATTGCCTATTGTATACATGAAAAAAATGCTTGTCATGTTAGCAATCAAGAGATAAATTATATGAGTATGTCAAACTATTGCATGTTAACAGTTAATACAAGGAAACTATCCATTAATGGAATTACTTCATTCTTGTAGCTTTCGGCTACAACGCTACCCACTGTTTTAAAAAGCCTCCGCCTAGTCCGCCTAGGCGTACGCCTAGGCCTAGGCGGTACCTTAGCTGCCTAACTAGCACCTAGCGTCTAGGCGGTATCTAGACTGCCCACCTAGGTTTTGGGAGTGTTTAGGGGAGCATTATCTGCTTACGTGAACTGCACCCTTTAAGCCTTGATCGTGATTTTGTGTTGCAGTCTCCATGTCCTCCAACCTCCTTCAAACTCGTTTAGCCTGTAAATATGAATACCTCCACTACCTCCTCTGACCTTTAGCAAAACTTCCTCGATGACTACTTAAATGAAGAAAAAATCCACCTAGACACTAGTCCGGCACCTAAGCTTTCTATATTAACATTTACTATCCATTATTATAATTAAAAAATAAAATAAATCTCCTAGGCTCTAGGCGACGGGTCCAACACCTAGGCCTCCTAGCGCATCCAATAACCTAGTTAGTTATTATTTTGGCTATTTAACATTTAAGTATGCATGGTTTATTGTGGATCTAGGATTACTATCTTTTTTTTTACAAATTTATATGACTTTAATATATATTTTTATCAATTATTATAATTAAATAATTTTAAAAAATAGCCAAACGCGTAGGCGTCGCCTAGGCGTACGCTTAGATGTTTAGGTGCTGGCTTAAACGCCTAGTCCGCCTACCACTTTCTGTAACATTAGCAATACCTGCTACTCAGCTATTAAAGCATACATCAAAAATTAGGACAATCATCTTCAGTGAAGGGCTATCTCACCCCTGTTGGAAGTCCCGTGTTCGATTAATTTACAAAGCAACATAGTGAAAGCTCGGGTCTTTGCAATTATGCAAAACTAAATTAAAAAAGGCACATAGCCGACATGCCGCACAAATGAATAAAATTGAAAGCATAAAAACATAGTAAATAATAGGAAGTAGAACTATTTGGTGCTTTGACAATAGCTAATTTGAGATTCATGAATTGTCCTGACTGAAAAGCTAACCTACCAGGCTATGGTGCAAATCGACATGGAGAGAGGGGGATGCACATGCATCACAGAATTTGGATTGAAGATGATAAGGATCGAGGAACTTAACTTGGAGATACAAAAAAGCGTAATTAAGTTTGATAGGTCTATCAGCTCGTGTGCATCCACTGATATCGAGGTAATTCTAGGTGGCTGCCCTATTTGTAACAGGGATAACATCACATGAACTACATGAAAATTTGAAACCAGATATAGGTCCATCTCAACAACCAGCACTAATAAACATTTACCATCTCGCATATTTTTAAAGAAAAGTTCTCAAGCAATTATTATGACAGTTCTTAGAGCACAGCAATGAAAATATACAGAAGAAGATAATAAGTTTTAGAGCACATCAATGATAAAGCTTACATGATAGAGCTTCCTTAAGACTATGGTGTGTCTGCTACTTATAATGTCAGTGATCTATCTCCCTATTATGAAGAAGCAGAAGGCCTAGAATCACGGACAAATGTTAGGTTTTTTTTTGGAGGGATGGGTTGTTTAAGACAATTCAAACTTTGTAGCTGCAGGAGATCAATTTGCAGGTTGGCACCCCCGAGTGGGACAAGGCCTCCTTTTCTTTCGAGAAGTGATAAATATTTTCTTGGCTTGCTGCTTCTCAACCTTTACAGCCAGTTTGATTACCTCGTTTAGGGTCCAATATGGTTGCATCTAAACAGCATTCTCAATGTCAGACCATAGGCCATCAAGGTACTATGCTACTACTTGCTCTTAAGGTTCCTTGATGATGCAAGTCATGAGGAGTTGTTCAAGATAAACTCGAGTGGAAGAAGAAGCAGAATTTAAGAGTTCTCTTTTTTTGAAATCACTCCACCAGGAGTATATCCATGAAATAATTCTTGGGCAGCAAACACTAAGCATCTATTTATCTAAAAATAATAATAATGTTATAAAACAATAGTAGCTAATAGGAATGGACTCGGTAGTCGGTACACTTTATCAGTTTAATATTACAAAACAATCATTTCCAATTTCGTTTGTGGAAACTTATATTGTTGTGGTTGACAAGGGCCTTTATGAAAACAGGCTCTTCAAATATTCGATTGAAGCCCTGAGTCGCACTACGTTGCTTTGCTTTGCACTAGGTTGTAATTTATCAAGATTGTTTAAGTTCAAAGTAGTAGATCGTTGCTCCATTGGTGACTTTCTCTTAAAATATTTATCCATGACTAGAAAAAGTTAAGCAAAATAATCAATATCAAACTATTATTCAACTTGTCAGCAAATTTTTTTGCTTATATTTAGTTACTAATCTTACAAATCCCAAATTTTCCTTTCTATGATATCTAATTTCTATATGATCACTCAAGTTCTCAAAGTAAAGAACAATCCATTAGTCATATGTTACACTTTATTATTGTTGTAGCTTTACTTGGGCCAATTAAACAAAGTAAAGAACATGAGTTTGGATTTTAGTATTATTTTTGGGTTTCTATTATTGTAGTTTTATTGCGGTCAATATGACTTTGTTGTTGAAAATTTAAATAGGTTTGAACTTCTAACGGGCTATTTCAAATTTTGTCGCTCATTTCTTTAGTGTTTTAGATAAGTTGGGCTTGGGTGCAATTTTCAAAATATATGGGGGCAAATTATAAGCCAAACTATAGTTTATATGATAAATTAAAAATTTTTAGGGTGCAACTGCACCCCAGGGGTCGTATATAAATCTGCCCCTGGGTGGATCTACCTTAACCAAAGTGGTGTCACCTAATAACCAATCCCAACCCACTAATCTAATAACCAATCTTTAGGTGACCCCTCTAATAAAACGTCATCCAATATCATACCCAACCCACCAAACAAACTGCCCTCAAAAAAATCAAGAATGAATTCCTTCAATATTGGTCTTTTAGTCTCTCAAATTTAAGCCCTCAAATCATTGAAACTGCTATTGGATTCCTTAAATCTTTGAGTTCTTTTAAAACTAGTCCTTCAAATAATTGAAAATGCTATTAGATCCCACAATTCTTTAAGTTATTTTAGAATTAGTCCCTCCAATCAAAAGTAGAAGTAGCAACTAAAGGGATAAATTTGAAACAACTTGTAAGAATTTAGGAACCTAATAGCACTTTCAAGCACTTTCAATGATCTAGGGAACTAATTTCTCTCTAATTGCCACATACATGTTTGATTTAAGAGACTAATTTCAAAAATGACTTAAGAATTGGGTGACCTAATAGTAATTTCAATGATTTGAGGGTCTAGTTTCAAAGCAACCTCAAAAGTGAGGGAGGTAATAGCAATTCCAATGGTTTGAGGAACTAATTCAAAATAGGAAAGATTTTAGGGATTAATATTGTAATAAAACCCTTTTAGAATCAAGGTTTTAAATGTCGGATGTCGGGTTCATGTCGGACAACTAAAATTCATGTCGGACAGCAAAAATTAGGGATATGTCGGGGGACATATACTAAATGTCGGATTGCCATATCGAATGGATTTTTACTCAATTTTGGTCACCAAGATGGAATGCACTAGTTTTGTTATAGCTTATCCTACTTGAGTTGAGTATTCATTATCTAAACACGAGTTGTTTTCCATTTCTTGAAGGGAAACATTAGAATATTATGCCAACAAATAAATAAAATACACATTGTCAAACTAGGACTTTCGAAGTGCCTTACATAAAATTAACATGAAGTAAAGTGCCTTGCATAAAATTGACATAAAATGTTAAGACTTTGAATTGATTTCAAGCTACGGTTCAATCTTATTGTTTATATCACGCTTTTATGAATTCTCGGTTCAATCTTATTGTTTATATCACGCTTTTATGAATTCTCAATTTTAATTTGTAGAGACGAAGACGAACGAGAGGAGATCGTGGCGGGAAAGAGAGCAATATTTTTTTCTTTGCCCTAATCTATATTATATGCTATCGGGTTACTATGGAAACAAAAGGCTAAAAAAAGAATTAATCAGGTTAGGCTTTTGAGTATTAAACCCAAAGCCCAATACTTATCAACTCAAAAAAAAAAAATCGGTCGATTTTTGATTTTTTAGTGCTGAAAATCGACCATGTCGGCAATATCCCCTGATATGTCTGACATGAGCCTCGAAAATGATATCTGATTTGAAATGGCAATATCCATATCGCTCCACTCCAGCCTCTGATCCAACATGTCGGCTGACATGTCAGCCGACATTTAAAACCATGTTTAGAATTAAGAACCCGTGATCAAATTTTTACCCCTACCCATGCTCCTATAGGCGCTACGCCTCATCCTCTGCCCTACACCTCCTGTTTCTCCTTCTCTACTTAGTTGTCAAGATCCCATTGACCATTCTTAGCTCTATGCTTAGCAAATTTTGATTTTTTTTCTACATATAAATTTAGGATTTTTTAGGGTTTTGGAATTTAAATTGTTTGATTTTGGTGTAGATTTATTTTTTCACTCACGATTTATTACATAGTGACACCACTTTTAAAAATACTGGATCCGCCACTAAACTGCACGGTGTACTCTTCCACTGACATGTCTAGTTGTCGAAGATTGTGAAATTGAAGGAACTTGCTTTTGCGGTAGTGCTCAAGGAGGAATTGCCTCTTGAGCTCTCTACACATCTTCCAAGTACAGATTTTACTCCCCCTTAGGATTCTCATTGCTGCTTAAGATTCTCCTACCAAATTGAAGTGTATTTCTCTAATTTGACAGCAACAAATTTCACCAGTTGAAATTCAAGTGTTCCCTTGAGCTC